TTTATAAGTATCAAGTCACTTTGTAATTATGTCTTTTTGATTTGATAAAGTCATAGTTTATTACTAACAAGTCATATATAGGTAAATCATTAAGTCTGTAACATTTACTTTATACAATAAATATTTATTTTTAACATGATCTTCCTGGTAAATGCACTTAATTAGACACTGATTGTTCACTAAATACAAATTGAAGACAGAATATATTCAGGTAGAAATAGTTTGTTATTGATTCCTCTATTCTTAATGGCACAAAGAAATTGTTTGTCTTCTACTCACTGATAATGTTTAGTTTAAATAAAATCTTTAAATAAAAGCAGGGTTTTCTCTACTCTTAATAATTTGCAATTAATTAAAATATTCAATGCATTCTTTTTTTTTTAATCTGTAAAACCCACACATAGATTGATAGATTTTTAAGGCATGGTTAATATGACAGGAAATGTTACAGATTTGATATTATAGAAATTGACAAAAATATTTCCATCATATTAATGCAATTTCATCAAGTAAAAATAATTTTTTAACAACATTTAAAATAAAATTCGATGTCATCTCCTCTTGCGTCTATTTTCCCAAATGCATAACTTGTTCAAAATCAAATAGAAAATATAAATCATTTCAGTCCTCACATTTCAACATAAATTAAATTTGTGTAGATATTGATAATTTTCTTAATTGTGCCTAGGGGATTTAAGCCATGCTTTAGGATAATAGAAATTTTGTTCTTACAATTGATTTTCAAAATTATTTTTATTATAGAAATTGAAATTTTTTTCTCAAATTTCAGCAGTTCTTTGTTTCTTTTTTGCTATTACCAGCCATTGCTGGTAGCAATAAGCAATAAGATTTTATCTATTTGGAATTGAATATCAATAAATTTAACTGTTTCTATCAATTCTTGAATCATGAAAAACATACAATAATGGTTGATGTTATTGCATGTCAAAAATACTCTAAAATATCATAAAATTTTTTAATATTTCCTCAAAACATAATAACCATGTTTTTATACCCTATTATGTTTGGTATAAATATTTAACTGTATATATATATATATATATATATATATAAATCTATCTATCTATCTATCTATCTATATATATATATATATATATATATATATATATATATATGTATGTATGTATGCATAAATCTATCTATCTATGTATATATATATATATATATATATATATATATATATATATATATATATATAATTCTTATTAAGAAACAGACAACTTTAAGGTAACATGATTATAATTTATTTCCTTATGACCAAGATTCAATCCTACTTCTTCACATTGACCATTTCCATACAAATAAATGGATGGTTATATCCTCCTTGGAATTATCCATATGGAATACCAAACAATATCATTAACTATATATATATATATATATAGGTAGACAGATTCACAGTTTTGGGGATGTGATCTATCTATATATATATATAGATAGATAGATAGATAGATAGATAGATAGATAGATAGATAGATAGATAGATCTGATAGGATAAGGAACAAATAGGAAATGTTTATAAATCGAACATGTTTCACTTTTATGAAAGCTTCATCATAGAATGAAATATGAAGAAGAAAAAGAAAGAGAAAAAATCTGGTACCTTTAGTTTTTGTGCTGTATGCATAAATTATAAATTATAAATAATAAATAAATAAATAATAATTACTGAATAAATGTTGCGTACATAAATTAAGAATAGCAGAAATTTTTTCTTTCTTTCATTTTCTCCTTCACATTTCATTCTCTCATGAAGCTTTAATAAAAGCGAAACTGGTTAGATTTATAAATACTATTTATTCCTTTTTTTATCATCCAGTTGGATTCCGATCTATATTTGATCCCAATTCATTTGTATATATATATGTATATATATATATATATATATATAATGGATTAAATCTTACAAGTATTTTAATATATTTTCTGTTTATAGATTATTTTTATGGATTGTTGTAACGTAGAAAATGAACGAGGAATAACCAAAACGGAGGTTGGAAATGAAATGGTAATCTTTATAACATCAACAAAGTACAATACTTGCCAGCAGTGTGAAGTAGATAAACCACTGCTAGTGATGGACTACTTAGACAACATATTACCCCCCTACACACACTTACAACAGTGTCCAACATATTTATGAGAATTTGGATATACCCATTAGTGTTCATAGGTATGGCATATAACATGGATACAATTTATTTGAGTAAATGTTGTTTACTCAACTAAGTTGGATCTATAAAAATAATGTATAAGCAGAATATATATATATATAAACATATATCTGTAAAAAGACAATAGGTATAAAGTCAAAAGAAAATCTTTTCTTTATTGATACATTTTGTCCTCTGATGGACTTTATGAAGGCAAATGTAAGTATTATATTTTACAACAAGTATTTATAAATGGAAATAAAAATATCATTAGGTTTTCAATCTTTTTAAATTTAAGGACACTCCTAAAGATTCTTTAAACTAACTGTGAAAGTTACAGTAAACTATGGAGGACACTAAGTGATGTAATTTAGACAAGAGGATGAAACTCATTGATAAAGAAGAAAAGCCTTCCTTTTGTCTTTATTCATATATATATATATATATATATATATATATATATATATATATATATATATATATATAGAGAGAGAGAGAGAGAGAGAGATAGGTATAAGCAAAAAATCAGCAACCTGAAATTTTTAAATATATTATACAATGAAATGTCCAAAAGTTCTTAGTCTGACTCACTCCACAAAATCTAACAAAATAATCAAACATCAAGATTTAATTTTTTGTTTTTGATTCCTGACAGAGAATTTTTCAGTACCTACTAATACTTTAACATTAGCTTTTCTATGGGTAAAAAGTTGCTTATTTTATAGTACCGATGTCATCAATGTTCATTATGAACACTTACCAATCAGAGGCCAGCTTCAAAAAAAAAATTTCTGGCAAAGAACCACTACCCTGTGGAACAGACTCCCAAGAGGATGTTTCCCTTATCGCTACAATCTTAATCTGTTCAAGTCTAGAGTCAACCATTATCTCCCCCTCCTATCCATATAATCACCCTTCAAGTGGTCCCTAGGCCCTGTACAGGGTGAACATTACTCTAAAAATAAATAAAGTGGATTTTTAAAGCATTTGAATGATTCATATAGGTTTATTGTGTTTACTTGAATGGCTGACTGTTAATTTTAAAATATCAATGTAGACCTCATCTTATTTTTTAAGATAATTTTCCTTCAAAACTTAGCAAATAAACTTAAAAACAAACATTGATATATCAAGTTTTATTAGAGGTATTTGAAGTTAATACTATATTTTAAACCAGTAATGTTAAAATAATTTTATAAAATTAGAGTATGCAATTACCTAAATCAAAAATGTATTTTAAAAATGCAAATTTTAAATTATTCTCTTTAACTTATTCTAATGTTTTGTCTTTGCTTTTTGTAGTATAAGTTACCCTCAAGGCTTAATCAGAGACTTCAAGAGACAAGGTTTTTTTTTGCATCAGAATATGCAAACAGATAAGGTACCATGCTATTAAGGAGATTAAAATATTTAATTGTGGTCACAGAGAAATCTAAGCAAAATCAGAGAGGTACCCATGAGTATGATCTTTTGCAAGTTATATACTTTAGGACTACCAAGAATTGGATCCATATATTTGTTTGCTCTTTTAATATCATTCTGAAGGCCCAAAATCCAACAACAGGTTGTCTTGACATCATTATTATTATTTTTATTATTATTATTATTGCAAGGGAATGCCAACAAAGTGACACTTGGGTTACAAATATACCAAGCTCAATATACAAAGCTTCATGACACCCAGTCTGATAAGTGTATACCAGGTACATACATCACAGCCAAATGTGTGCAATGTCATGAAAGTCTTTGATAAAAGCACAAAAAATTGCAGATGACACCTGGTTAGAAACACGTCCAGTTTGGGTAACCTGGTTTGCTCTGACTGTCTCTGATTGAGGCTGTTCCAAAGTATTTAAGTGTGACTCCCAAGTTTGATTGCTTTCCATTGAGTGCTTCATCCTTCAGACTTTAAAAAAAGCATCTCTCCTGACACCTCTTGCTCATGAACCGAGCTGCACTGAATCAGCTCCTCAGGGCCATGCCCAACTACTTATAGTTAAGTAATTAACTAGCAAATATGTGTTACTGAACGAGATATTTAGTGTAGCCATCTTAATTCACTAAGACAAAACATGTACATATTAAGACCTTCAAACAATTAAAACTAGAAACCATGAGTCATGCCTCTTCTAATATCAGGGCATTATTATTATTATTATTATTATTATTATTATTATTATTATTATCTTTTGCATTCTGTTTACTACAATCTCTTACTGGGTTTTTACTCAAGACCTGGGGTAAGACAAGGTAGTAACTATATGCATTGTATTTGCACAAATTCTAATTAAGTGATACTTAACATGTATACTATTTATACTTTCTCTAGATTGATAATACTCCACAAAATAGATGAGCAGTTCCACACAGAGAATTTTTTTGAATCTTATATAAACAATGGGCTACCAGGAATGTAGTTAATGTTTTTTTCCAGTACCTTTTATTACTGTAGTAAAAGGGTACTTTTGAGGCGCTATATTCTTTCAATTTCAAGATCCTTATATTTCTCTATTTTGTCATATTCTTGTTATTTTATCTTATGGCACTGTCATATGTATGAGAAAGCATTGTTTTATGTTTTTTTTAGTTTATAATTATTATTATACACTGATTTACATGGACAAAATTCTCTTCTTGGTTGTTATTGCCAATGACCATGGCAGTAGTCTAGGTAAATCAGTGTGTAATAATTCATTCTTGCCAAATCATTTCTAATTTTGATTTACTCCACAAAGATAAACTAATTGTAAGCTGAACCAAATAAAAATACCAAATCACCAAATAAGATATATTAGGTTTTTTCTGATTTACAAGGCACAATACTTTATGTTTCCTCCACTCTCTCTCTCTCTCTCTCTCTCTCTCTCTCTCTCTCTCTCTCTCTCTCTCTCTCTCTCTCTCTCTCAAGTATTGTACACCCCAATTGTGGAATATGGGGCCATAAACTCAACACACTAGGCATTGTTCTTGCAGTTTCCATAGCAAGTAGGTTTTTCATGGGATGTACTTGCTACCCCATAATCAAACAGTTTTGAATTCAATGTTGACCTTCTCCTACATTGGTTACCAAGGCAGAGGAGCCCAGTATGTCCTAATACTTAACCCATATCTGTGTGGAAAGGAGATTGGTTTATACCTTTCTCAAAGATATTTGCATAAAAGGGAATTTGAACTCAGCTTGCAAATTTTACTTTCCAAGTCGCAAGCCATTACACCATCCACATATCTACCTGGAATGTTTTCTTGATGAAACCACTTTTACAACTGATGATAGCATATATGAAATGACATCATACTTTTCCTAAAAAATATTCAGAACTCTCAGAATATGCATTCTTAAAGTAGCTACGTTTTATTATCTGCCAATGATCATCGTTGTGTCATTTTAAAATTTCCATTATGTGTTTGCAATTATTTTTCTTGATAAAATATACATTACCTGATAGATACACCAATGAAAATGTATCAAATTTGAGAACAATTAAAAAAGTGAATGGTTATAATGTTTCTGAATATAGAATTCACTTCTTTGATAATAGTGCTACAAATTGATAATGAAGCACGAAAAAAATGAATAAATATATATATATATATATATATGAAGAAATATAATCTTAAGATGTGCTATATTTATGGGATAAAGTGCTCAATATCAGAGATGGAGCATGTGTAAATATAAAAGTGAACATAGAAGTCAACACTTAGAGGTGACAGTCTGTTTCATGTTATATGCAATCGACAGGCTTGATGATTGCATATACCATGAAACAGACTGTCGCCTCTAAGTGTTGACTTCTATGTTCATTTTTATATTTATATATATATATATATATATAGATCAAAACAGGTAAATGAAGCAAGTGAGTGGCAGTTTGTTTCTGAGTACACCCATCTGATAGGATCCTTCTCTAATCCGTGTTTCAGGCACCTGATCAGGCACACTTGTGTTTCTTCTACATCCACAAAACCAACCTATTGTTTATAATGCAACTCTGCTGAGCAGACTATCTCTGTCTATCCAATATCACTCATGGGCCTTGAATCAACCCTTGGTTTGGTTTTTGGGCCTGAAAACCATTAAAACATATATATACAAACACCCACGGTCATGTATACATATATGAATGAATCAGTGTGGATATAATATATATGTGCAAAAATTCACAGCTTTTTTTTTTAACAAGAGTCTAAATAGACAGTAGAAAAACATTTTTTAATGAAAAAAAATGCTGGGAAATTTTGCATAGAGCAGTTAAACAGTTTGAGCATTTCAATAATATAATAAAAATGGCGGCGGTGCCCAGTCCTCACTTGCCTATTTGGATAGAGTTCAACAGCATTTATCAGACCTTGTGGGTGATGAATTATTTTCCACCCTACAGCTCTTTTCCCACAGACAAAATATTGCGAGCCCTTCACTGCTCTATAGTTATTTCCATGGCATGTTCTCTGACAAGCTACATTCATTAGTCCCACCAGCCCTGACTATTACAACTGAGACTGGCCATACCACATACACAGAAATGAATCATCCCCATTTCCCTCACATTCCATTAATAAGAAGTAAGTTACACTCAGACAGCTTAATCCTAATAACTGCTGGCTTTGTGGAACAGATTCCAGCAGGATAATTTCCTGATCGCTACAATCATGACCTCTTCAAGTGTTGGGATTAATCATTTTCTGCATAACTGTTAACCAGTATCTGTTATCTACATAACCCCATAAACTTCACTTCTTGCCTTTTCTTACATTTAAACAACACCACACAGTAACCCTCTACCTTGAGTGGCTCTTGGGTCTTGTATTGGATGAACATCAGTATAAAAAAAGAAGACCAAACACTTAATGATGTAATGATCACATATTTTTGAATACTGCCACTTGGGAATAAAAAATGCACACTGTATCAGCCTCTAGAGCACATGGCCAACCTGTTATGGTCAGGCAACTGACAAGCGAAATTTACCATAGACCATCTTAAGTCACTATGACAAAACATATACATGTTAACACCTCCAATCAATTAAAATCAGGAGCCATAGGAGACATACCTAGTGTAGCATCAGGTCATTTATTATTAGTAGTAGTAGTAATATGTGCAGATGTTGCAGGTCAAATGAGAAATCGAAGAGCTGAGTTTGAATTCCAGTTAACTTTGTTATTTTCACTAACATAAAATATGGGAAAGGTATGACTCTATCTCTTCTCCCCTCACATATGGATTAAATAGCAGGGCAGGTTGGGCTATCTAGTCATAGTTGGCAATTAGCGTCAGAGAAGAACAAATCTGAATTCAAAATGATATGTGACCCTGCAGCCAAATTAAAGGTTGTCTTTTGACAAGGCATAATTCCTGGAAGCCACACCTGCCTGGTTTATGGGGAAGAGAGTGATAACAAGATGTTAGATATGGTCAGTGGTATAACCTACCAGATTTGTGGCATTGAACTGGACAATAGATGAGACCTAATTTTTCTGAGTTAGATGGAGACTGCAGAAACACACCTTATGTCTCAATATATATATGCAATTGAAACCCCTATGATGACATATTGGGATGTCCTTACAGACAACCAAAATTAGCAATCAGTTATTATTATTATAATTATTATTATTAATATTATTATACATTGATTTACTTGGATGAGTGTCCTGATGTTTGTTGCTATCGTCAACATCCACGACAGGGATATTAATCCAGGTAAATCAGTTTATAATAATTCATTTGTAATTTTCTTAATAATCTAGTTTATTCCTGATTTTAAGATGAGGATTTATTCGTGTAGATGCACCAGTGGGTTTTAATAATATTTATTGGAAACTTTGGAATAAATGAAGAGAATCAAAGATATAAACAAATAATATATGTTTATTTGATTATTTTTGATTGAGACGAGTATTGTCTAAATCTGGTTAGCAAAAGTCTGTTCATCTTTATAAGTCAGACTTTGATAGTAGTTATCATCTTGTTGGCAGGTGTTAAAATGTGGTTACTTTAGAAACATACTACAGACACCAATCTACTGTGTATTCATGACCCTCAAAAAGGGCAGAAAAAATGTCTTAAGCAGATGACCATTTAGCTCAGGTTGGTTTTTGGCTGTCTTCTGTGACTGCTGTCTGTCAGTTGTCTCTTTATATACAATTTTGAAAGGCTCTAGATTACTTGACGCAAAGTTTGGCTTTAACATCAAAAGTATCTTTGTTCTTTTGATTGGTCTAAGTTCTTTTATTTATTTTCCAGTATTCCTTGCTTTTTCTTTCTTGATAGAAGTTATGTTGGATATCAGTTGAGGAAGACCTTTGACTTCACTTCTGCTGCATCAAAGAGTGAGCAAAAATTGGTCTGAGTGACAGCATAAACAGGAAACTTATCCAGTGCCTAAGATAAATAGGATTCACAGGTGTTCTGAGCCTTGAATAAACAGGGCACATAGGTGTCCTGAGTGGAATGAAATATGTGCTTGTATGGGCACATGCCAGAAGAGTCGTGGCCACAAGGAGTTGTGTGGATGCATGTAAGAGGCTGTAATAGGCTGGAAGAGGCCAGAAGGTGACATACCAGAAGAAGGTGTAGCCATGTGAAGCTATGTGAAGTTGCATGGGTGTCTAAATGTTTAAAACCAGTCCAATTCTTGGCCTGGAGGAAGGCTAGCTAGAGTTTCACCAAAGATTTGTCTTCGTCAATTCCTGTATACACAATTCTAACCTCTGTGATTCTCCCTCACTCTACCCAATCACTACAACTCAAACAATAAAGATATTTATATATTTTTCATATATAAGTGTTTGTCACCTTATTTGAGTCCAGCAGCAATACACAACAGTTATGCATGGAGCTTCTCTTATTATGGTAGATTTCTAGTCACAATAACTCAACAATGGACTAGCAAACTTTCTTTTCTTCTTCTTCCTCTTTTTATATGAGAGTTGCCTTCTCATTAGTTGAGAGAGAAATATAGAGAGTGTAGCAGGGAGAGAGAGAGAGAGAGAGTAGGGAGAAAAAGAGATAGAGGTTTTTAAAGAAAGCAAATTTTTAATTTTAATTTTTTTTTAAATATTTATTATTATCATTTTTTTTTAAAATTTGAGTACACCACATATTCTCCTTTTTAAGCAGAAAAATATTTTCTTGAATATGCAGATAAATAAACAAAGTAACATTTAAAAGTCTTTAATTAAATAATTCGACTTTTCCACAGTAACTCTCAATTCAGACTGACTCTGAATCACGTACAGTTGATAACTCTCACTGAAATAGCTCATGGTTTATGATTCAAGAAATTGCCAATGTCTAATTTACTTGATTTATTTTATGATTTATTTATGATCAGAACATTCAACAAAAGAATATAATTGTCCTGAAATAACTATGTTTATAGATTTATTCATATTGCTTGATTAATAATTAATGCTTATCAACCAAAATATCATTATTGATGTGCATAAAAAAAGACTCAAATTTTCTTTTGTACAAACCGAATATAAATGCCAAGTAAATGCAACAATATTAAACATTTGTTAACGAGATAGGAAATAGATGAGTAACTGCTTGGGAATACCAGGTGCTGTAAATGTGCAGATGATAATGACTTCCAATTCCAGTCAAGTTCATTATATTCACTTCCACGCAAATAGATGAGTAACTGCTTGGGAATACCAGGTGCTGTAAGCTTGGATGTGCAGATGGGGAAATGGATAATGACTTGGAATTGGAAATCAGAGAGCCAAGTTCCAATTCCAGTCAAGTTCATTATATTCACTTCCACGCAAATAGATGAGTAACTGCTTGGGAATACCAGGTGCTGTAAATAGATGAAATGGATAACTGGAATTTCAGGGAATTCCAATTCAGGTTCATTATATTCTTGGATAGATGCAGATGGGGAAATGGATATATGACT